TTATGGAACACACATATCTTCCTAAGTGCACACATATGTGTTTACGATTTGTCATACACCGTTGTTTCCCCCGAATATTGGTTTTTCTGGATAATTTAATTGGCATTGTTTTCTTTTGCTCTTTTCCCTTTGATAGAAATATTTGTTGTCTATGTTACTTGAAAATGTGGTGGATGAACGATATGGGGCTGCTGGATGGAGGATTACCCCTAGAAGGATGCAGTACTTCGTTGAGCCCGGTGAAATGTTCATTACATACACAGATCTCCCTGATGAGCCGTCATGACCTATAAGCATTGAACGTATATGATTATGCAATGTGGCACACACATCCCGCTCAATATGCACGCACACAGCGTTTATGTGGATATCGTGTCACACTCGTTATGTCATATGTGCACACAAAGAAAACAAGTCTACGGAGAATGGAGTTTGTGCAAGTTCACATCGATTCTCCGTAGTCATCCATTTCCGCTTGTGCACATACCTTTAGTTGTTAGGGGTGCACTTAGGTTGGGCTAGTTGTTCAGTACTATCCACCTAAAATACTAGACGCATGAATACACGACCACCAGATGGGTGTTAAAAATAGTGTGCTGCAACTTTTTGATATGCTGTGTGCCATAATGTATTGGTCAGTGTGCATAAATGCTAGACCCAAAACAACAGGACACGGGGTTGTGCACTTGTGTAACACGGTGTGTGCCATAGTGTATGTATTAGAATGAAGATGGTAAACAACAGTATGGATGGATTCAGGTCTCATGAAAAAAGATAATTATGTGCACTTGTGGTATCTTGTCTGTGCCGCAACGTTCAGGGCAGATTGTAACAATGGCATACTACTAATGACACGGTAGGAAAAATTACACAGTACGGTGGGCAGGGCAGCACTTTTTATGCAATTCTAGCCTTCAACACAAGATTACGCATGGGTGTATTCAATCTAATTATTAAAACCAACAACACCCAACAATGTGGAGCAAACAAAATTGTTACCATGATCGTGGCCCATTGTCATTCTTCACAAGGAGTCGGCCATGAATTTGGTGGTCTGCATCTCCCTTTGAAATCATGCCAATGGCAACCGCGCATGCTTCAATTTCTGCCGCAAAGAGGACATATGTAGAATCACAAAACTCTAGGACTCCTTTATTTTTTCATCCTAAAAACTTGGAAAGAATCTAGATATAATATTATATTTTAATTGGTGGTTGTACAAAATTACACTAATATCCTTTTTAATTATTCATGTTTAAGATCCTCATAAAAATTGATTAAGCAATTTTGAAGGGTTTGGATTAGTTCTTATGGTTCCTACCTAACAAAGGGTTCTCACTTGAAGGCCCCCCTATATATATATATATATATATATATATATATATATATATATATATATATATATATAATGCATAAACATATATACTAATACGTAATACATTAGTAGGTATTCTTATATATTAAATATTATATATATTAAATATTATATATTATATATTATGTATTATATATTATATGTTATATATAAAAAGAACTAATTATTAGATAATATTAAATAACTAATGGAAAATTATTATAAAGATTTACCTAAAATATGAGTGTAAAATATGCCTATCAGTGATCACGCATAAGTTGGCTGTCGACCCCGCGGTCAAGCCAGTCCAGCAACGCAAGAGGTACCTCTCCGCCGAGAGGAGGGAGTTCATCAGAAAGGAGGTCGACACCCTGCTGGAGATCGGTTATGTCAGGGAGGTCATATACCCACCTGGCTAGCAAATGTGGTCCTCGCCCCAAAGCCGCCCACTTGGAGGATGTGCGTGGACTACACCGACCTCAACAAGGCCTGCCCTATGGACCCCTTCCCCCTCCCCAATATCGACCAATTTGTGGACGAGACCGCAGGGTGTGCCCTCATGAGCTTCTTACACGCGTTCAGGGGGTACCACCAGATTTTCATGGAGGAGGCCGACGAGGAGAAGACCGCCTTCACCACACTAGAGGGGGTCTATTGCTACAAAGTCATGGCTTTCGGGCTAAAAAATTCAGGTGCCACCTACACCCGAATGGTGGCCAAGGTGTTCAAACAGGTACTCGGCCGCAAACTGCAGGCCTACGTTGACGACATGATTGTTAAGAGCGCCGAGGCCGACCTCCACACGGACGACCTTACCAAGGTATTTTCAATAATGCAGCGTTTCAATTTACAGTTGAACCCCAAAAAGTGCATTTTCGGGGTGCACGGGGGGAAATTTTTGGGGTACATGGTCTCGAAGAGGGGCATCGAGCCCAACCCCGACAAGGTCAAGGCCATCCTGGACATGGAACCTCCGATGTCCCTCTGGGAGGTCCAGCGCCTCAACGAACGGTTAGCAGCCCTGGGCCGTTTCCTTTCGAGGTCGGCCAAAAAATCTTTGCCATTCTTTGGAGTCCTCAAAAAGACTAAGGGCTTCGAGTGGTCCGAAGAGTGCTAGAAGGCGTTCGAAAACCTCAAGACGTACCTGATGTCGCTCCCCCCTGGCCAAACACGTTAAGGGGGAGGTCCTGTATTTGTACCTGGGCATCTCACAGGTCGCGGTCAGCTCCGTGCTGGTCCGGGACGACTAGGGGGTCCAACGACCCGTCAATTATACGATCTGGGCTCTACGGGGGGCAGAAATCAGGTACACCCCCGTGGAAAAGGCCATCTTTGCAATATATGTGACGGCAAAGAAGCTGAACCACTACTTCCAGGCCCACCCAGTGCAGGTCCTCACCAACCAGCCACTGGACGCAGTACTGAGGGCCTCGGGGTCGGCCAGTAGGTTGGTCAGGTGGGCCATGCGGCTGAGCCAGTTCAACATCCAGTTCAAGCCCAGACCCGCTATCAAGGGGCAGGCACTGAATGATTTTATAGTCGAGTGTACTGCCCGGGAGGCCACGGAGCGGGTCCGGGACGAAGACGAGGAGTGGTGGACCCTTTCAACGGACGGGTCCTCCAGCACCAGAAGCTGCGGGGGAGGAGTCGTCCTCATAACCCCGAAAGGGTTTCGGGCCTACTACACCCTCCGCTTCGCGTTCAAATTATCCAATAACGAAGCCGAGTATGAGGCACTCCTGTGGGGGGCTCCGCCTTGCGCTAAATATGAGGGTGGAGAAGCTCAAAATCTAATGTAACTCTAGACTCGTGGTGGGACAGGTCATAGGTGAATTTGAAGCAAGTGATGAACGAATGAGGAGGTACTCGGACGTGGTGCTCTAGCTATTGGGGCAGCTGATCAATTACGAGTAGGGATGTCAATTTGACCCGAACCCGATGGGCTAATCCGTTTAGCCTGAAAAATTACAGGGTTAAAACCCGAAAAAATTAGCCCGAAAAATTAATCGGGCTAATCGGGCCAGCCCTATAGGGCTGGCGGGTTGAGCCGGGTTGGCCCGGCGGGCTGGCAGGTAGCCCGTCGGGCTACGTAAAAAAAAAAAAAAACTTAAAACTTAAATTAAAACTAAAAGACTAGGGTTTGGACTGTTTAGTACTTTGGTTATTGAGCATTTGAGGCTTTGATCTGTGCAATTCTCCTCTCCCCAAATCTCACTCCCGCTTCAAATTTCAATTTTTCACTTCCGAGTTCCGACTTCCCGTCGTCCTTGCAGACCGCCAGCCCTGAGCCGCCCGTCGACCACCACCCTCCGGGCTCCGGCTATCATCTCTACTCTCTAGATCGTTGCACGCCTGCACCACCTGCACGCCTCACGAGTAGCCGCACTGCTCATTGCTCAGCGCCTCAATTTCCAACATATAAGAAGATCAAGATATATTTGGCTAATCTGAGGTACTTTGTTATTTTCTTTTTCCCTTTTCATTTCCATAGAAGTTGTGTTTGTGCAAAAGGGGAAGTGTCTAATTTTTTTTTATTTTTTTTGGGTTAAAGTTGCGAGCTTTGTTCTTCACTTAATTGCTAGAGAGACAATTGTTATAGTTTATTGTACAGAAATACAGAATGATGATGAGATATATAATAAATACACTTTAATTCATATTTGTTTATTAAGTTTTGACTTGTCTTATTTATTTTTAAATTTAAATGATCAAATCCCTTATATTTTAATTAAAGTATAGATTTATGTACGATTTGAACAATTTTAATGTGTTTTGATGGTATCTATGAATCTATGATGTAGGCAAACTAATGCTAGAAGCAAAACAAAAGTGTGCAGGCAGTGCAGCATTGCATTTTCATTCGAAAAGATATCTGCTTAGTATTTTGATCATATGATAGAACTAGTTACTGTATCAATATTCCTGAATTATTCCCTTGGAAAGGATCAATATTGATAGTTTGATACTGCTTGATTTTTTGTGACATTAGATAACACTACTATAGACAAAATATCAGTCCGCAGAAGCGTCTAGCTCCAGCTCCAACAATCACAGAGTACGCAGTGGCCACTGGCCAGTGGGTAAGTCACTTCTATAAGTCTATAAGTTCTATCTCCTTGAGTTTTTTTTCTTAATAATTTGGCCGGCTAAACCGCCTGTGGGTACCGGCATAATTGTGTATTTGTGTTTCTCCGGCTAAACCGCCAGTGGCCTGTGGGTACCGGAGCTTTGTTTGAAATTTTGAATGCCTTAAATTTTGAATATAATTGAATTTAGAAAATTACTATTTTTTACTCTTTAATGAGTGAATTAATATATGCAAATATCTTATAAATTTGTAATTTGTATGCTTAATTAGTGAATTACTATGTATTTAATTTATTTATTTGACAATTATATTTTTTATACGCTTATTTTATTTTTAGGTATAAAAGAAATGTCTTTTTCAAGTGTGAATGAAATGGATCTAAATGATAGTGAGATTCTTGAGAATACTCAAAAAAGAAAGAAAACATCGAAAGCTTGAAAGCATTTTTCATCTGTTGTAAAAGGTGAAGATGGTAGAGGAAGGGTAACATGTAATCATTGTAAGAGATCATACTTGTATGATGGTAGTAAAAATGGAACATCAACTTTAAACCGTCATATGGGGGTATGCGAGAAGAAACCAAAGGAAAGTGTGGGTGATGTGAGTGTTATGTCTGAACAAGGGAAATTGGATAGAGTCATTGATCAAAAAATTTGCCGTGATTTAATTGGCCAGTGTACAATTGAGCATGATCTTCCATTTAAATGGGTGGAATATAGGAGTGTGCAGCTACTTCTTCAGTATTTGTATCCTAATTTTCGATTCATTACTAGAAATATTGCGGCATCGGATGTTATGCAAATGTATTTAAGGCAAAAAGAAAAATTGAAATTGGTGTTGAAAAATATTCCTGGCATGCTTTGCTTAACATGTGATGTGTGGACAGCTTGTACAAATGCGGGTTATATTTGCTTGACTGTGCATTATGTGGATGAGAAATGGAGGTTGAATAACAAAATACTTTCATTTTGTGATATGCCTCCCCCACATTCTGGATTTGAATTGTCTAAGAAAGTTTATAATTGTTTGGTATATTGGGGGATAGATAGGAAAGTATTTTCCATAACTTTGGATAATGCTTCTGCCAATGATGTGATGGTGAGGCTTTTAAAGCAACAACTTTTGTTACAAAATAGTTTGCCTTGTGATGTTGAGTTCTTTCATGTGAGGTGTTGCGCACATATTCTGAATTTGATTGTTCAAGATGGACTAAAAGTTGCTAGTGTTGCTTTAGGGAAAATTAGAGAGAGTGTTAAGTATGTTAAAGGATCCGAAGCAAGAATGATTGCGTTTCAAGAGTGTGCTCAACGTGTTAGTGTTAATATTACTTGTGGACTTTCTACGGATGTGCCGACTTGTTGGAATTCAACATATGTGATGCTTGATAGTGCTATTAGGTATCGCCGTGTTTTTTGCTCTCTTGAATTACAAGATAGAAATTACAAGTGTTGTCCTTCGAATGAAGAGTGGTCAAGAGCGGAAAAGATGTGTGCATTCTTGTATCCATTTTATGCCATCACTAATTTGATTTCAGGTTCATCCTATCCTACTTCAAATTTGTATTTTTTGCAAGTTTGGAAGATTGAATGCTTGTTGGTTGAAAATTTAGGAAGTGAGGATCAAGTAATAAGTGATATGGCTAAGAACATGAAAGCGAAATTTGACAAGTTTTGGGATGACTATAGTGTAATACTTGCAATGGGAGCTATTCTTGATCCAAGGTTAAAGGTGCAATTTGTGGAATATTGTTATAAGAAGCTTAATCCACTTACTTGTCAAGACAAGATTGAAGGGATAAAGAAGAAATTATACTTGTTATATGATGAATATAAGAAAAAGAGTGGTGATTTTTCATCTTCTAGAGTTTCTACTCCTCAATTACAAGACTATTCAATCTATTCGACAATAACTACTTGTGGAGTAAGAAGTGGAGGATTGGGAAGTATGGGAGGATCGGGAAAATTGGATGAAAATCTTATTGTTGTAAGTTGAAATTCTTTTTACTTCATATCCATTACTAATTATATATGTTTATTGATTATTGTCAATTTGTCATTGGTTAACATGTGTAATTGTGTAAAATATTTAAATTATGTAGGATTACGTTGATTATCGTCATCGAAACCAAGGTGGACTTGGTAGTGGGGATACAAAGTCTAATTTAGACAAATACTTGGAAGATGATCAACTAAATCAATTGGATGATATAGATGTGCTATCATATTGGAAAGAAAAAGAACACCGCTATGGGGAGCTTGCTAAAATGGCATGTGATGTGCTTTCTTTTCCTATTACAAGTGTAGCATCCGAATCCGCCTTTAGCATTGGAGCTCATATCTTGAACAAATATAGGAATCGGCTTCTTCCAAAGAAAGTACAAGCTCTTATTTGTGCAGGTAATTGGTTACATGGATTTTCTACAAATGGTAATATTAGTTTCTCACTTTCTCTATCAAGTTTGATTTACTTGTACTATTAATTTAGAGTTAATGTCATTTTTGGTCCTAGACTTATTGGGGTGTGGACAGTTTTCATCCTCCATAATAAAAATTGCCAATTTGTAGCCACGCTTATTGGTCATTGGACAATTTTAGTCCTCCGTCAGTGCTAGGGGCGGGAATAGGCCAGGCCCCTTGTAGGGGCCTATGTCCTGGCCTAATTAAAGCCTAGTTAGGCCTAGCTCGTTTAGTAAAAAGGCCAGGCTTGAGCCAATTTCAAAGCCTATTAAACTAAACAGGCCAGGCATATATATACCAGGCTCGATCGGCCTTCAGGCCTACAGGCCTGGCATATATATATATATATATATATATATATATATATATATATATATATATATATATATATATATATATATATCAAGGTTGCAAAAATCCCGCCTAGGCAACGAGTAATCGCCGCCTAGGCGCTAGGCGCCCCTAAGCCGTGGCGATTTCCCCCCTAGGCTCCAGCCTAGGAGACCGGCCGCCTAGGCGCCCGCCTAGCGCCTAACTCGGCCGATTACGCCGAGTTTACTCGTCAATTTCTGTCGAGTTAGCCGAGTTAACCCGATCGACTTGACCTTGCTAATTTTTTTCATTTATATATATATAATTTTGTTTTTTGAAAACCATAGTTTTGATGTTATGACTTATGAATTATCATTAATTCATTTATTTGGATGTGTTATTTGAATAAATGTTGAAAACAACCTCATTAAAATTGTCAAACTGCAAGTCTACCACTGTTTTTTTGGCGCCCGCCTAGCGCCGCCTAGATTCCGCCTAGGCGCCGCCTAGACCGCTTAGGCGCTAGGCGCTGCCCGGGCGCCCGACTAGCGCCTAGCGCCTACTGCAACCATGATATATATATATATATATATATATATATATATATATATATATATATATATATATATATATATATATATATATATATATATATATATATATATATATATATATGTATTCTATTTTATACCTAATATTTGTATATTTACAATAAACCCCAAGTATATATTATTTAGATATACTAAAGTTTTTAAAAAGTCTTAACATGTAGGCTTTAATAGGCTAAGGTAGGACATACTTTGAAGCCTTTTTTAATGACCTAAATATTAAGCAGGCTTTAAAAAGGCTTCAGGCCAGGCCAGGCTTATAGCAGGCTCAGGCTTGAGCCTAACAAAAAGCCTACATACAGGCTCAGGCACAGGCCCAGGCTTTAGATTTTCGTAACAGGCCCAGGCCTAATTTTCCAAAGCTCGGCTCGGCTCGGCCTATTTCCACCCCTAGTCAGTGCAGCCATCTGTTGACCGTGAAAATGAAGGGCAATACTGTCTTTTTACATGTTCTTCTTCTAATCGTATTAATCAAATGTTTTTTACTTCTAAACAACAACCCAGACCATGCTCAGCAGTTCGAACTTCTCCTGCTCAAGCCTTCTCCGACCGGCGCCCTCATCGACAACCGGCCCTCCACCGCCATCAACCACCACGTCTTCCTCGACCGCAACCAACTCCACCGTCTCTTCCACCTCCGGTCTCCTCCCATGGCCTTCTCCTTCTTGATTCATCATTTGATACTCTGCCATAGCATGACTAAATTGGCCACAACTAGAGCAGTAAGCCGACACTTTCTCCACCTCAATCCTCTGCCAAAATCCATACAATTCCCCTTCACCTCCAACAATTTCCACTCAAACTCGATCAATCAAAGGTTTAGAGGCATCAATTTCTACTCTAACTTTGGCCACGCTCGACCTAGCTCGCCTAATGGTTGCTGAGTCTAGGGATACGACACTTCCAATCGGCTCACATATTCGGATGGGCATCTCAAAATTAAACAAATAAACAGGTAGAAAAGGCAATTGGATACATACCAAAGTAAATGGAGAATCTATGTTGCCTCTCCCCTACGGTGTCCACTTTGCGAACCCTCCTACAATCCTCTTCTAGAGAGAATCGCAAGAGAACACCTTCTACAATCGGTGACGTAGTGGTGCTGTTGCGTGACTCCGACGGACACATGGAAGGCGGCGGCGATGTTACGGAGTTTGTCGTGGGGTTCATCAGGCTGGTGGTTGGCAGCAGCCCCGGGGATTTGGGGCCCACGTCGAATGAGGAGGTGAAGCTCCACCATTCGATGATGTGGATCTCCGTGTTGCCCTGAGTCAACCCAGCGACTCCGATGAACTGAAATCGTCAAATCGTTGACGTACTAGGCGAGACTGAATGAGATAATGGATAAGAATGAGAGCTTTGGTTTGAGATTGGAGTAGGAGACGGAGATTTGAGTTGCAAAGTTAACCTGGAGTTGCAGATTGGAGTACTCGGTCAACAACGAAGACTATGTTCTTCTTGTTAGGATTAGGAGGATAAGACATAAAATGACATAAATGCCCTTCATTTTCACGGCAAATAGACGGCTGAACTGACGGAGGACTAAAAGTGTCCAACAACCAATAAGCGTGGCTACAAATTGGCAATTTTTATTATGGAGGATGAAAAGTGTCAACACCCTAATAAGTCTAGGACCAAAAATGGCATTAACTCTATTAATTTATTAAATAAGTATTATGTTATCTCTTTTTAGATGAAAGTGAAGATGAAGATGAAGATGGAGATGGAGATGGAGATGAAGATGAAGATGGAGATGGAGATGGAGATGAAGATGAAGATGATGAAGTTGGAGTTGAAGCTTCAAATTTTGGAGGGGAAGAATGGTAATATTAGTTTCTCTATCAAGTTTGATTTACTTGTACTATTAATTTATTAAATAAGTATTATGTTATCTTTTTTTTTTTTTTTTTTTTTTTTTTTTGTAGATGAAGATGATGAAGTTGGAGTTGGAGCTTGGAGGGGAAGAATAAGGGAATAGTAGATTTGATGAAGTGCACTTTAATCTTTATTGTGAATTTGTGGCTTATGAATTGTTGTCTTGTGGAGTTGTGGACTTATGAATTGAAGTTATGACTTTTGGCTTTGTGGTTTTAGTTTATGACGTGACTTGAATTACCAACTATGGAGATTTGGATGTTAACTACTAAATTTAGTGTTAATTTGTGATTTGTGAATTGTGGACTTATGTAGTTATGACTTTTGAATTCCCACATGATATGTTAATGATTAATGAATGGCTCTCACTCATTCACTTGTCAGTAAACATTAAAATGCTTGTTAAAAAATGTCCATCACAATTAGACGATTAGTGTTCAATTATAATTTATAAACCATTGACTCATTGTGGACTAATGAGTAGTGGGGCTCTCATATCTGCTTCTGCCACACAGCCCACACTGTTCTCACCTCTTTCAACATCATCTTGCTTAATATCCATGTCCTTAGATCAGTGTACCAATAAGGGGGAGTTTTAGCCTTTAGGTGCAGAGAGAACTGAGAAGAACAAAAATTAAAGGAAAAGACTCAAAAGATTTCATAAAAAGCTACTGATTTGCTAAGAAGTGTGGCATTTTAATTTTTAAGATATTGGTGCTCAGACTGCAAAAATTATGATTGGTCCAAATTTATTTGTCTATTGCATCTTCCAGCTAAGGTAACAATTTTATTATTGTTAATTATTTTTTTGTCTTTATTTGATTGGTATTATTGTTGATGTGGACGGTCCAAAACTCCAAATGTCCAATTAATTATAACCAAGTCATCGGTTGACCCGTTTTAACTTTTAATGTTCTATGAATTCTATCGAATGTAACTATAAACTATGTAAATATTCATTTATCTCTTGATTTAAATTTTAATGTGCCCAAATGCGCAATGCTCATCCGGTTGACCCGTTCTATCGAATTCGGATCTGGTTGATCACGTGACTCGTTTTATCGAATGTAATTATGTAAGTATTCATTTTCGATTTTTAGTTTTAGTTCAGATGGTTTAGCCCGCCCGATTAATCCGACAACTCGAAGTTTAGGGTTAGGGCTAGCCCGATCCGAGAATAAAATAATAAATTAATCGACAACCCGAATCCGATAAGCCCGACAACCCGACAGGGCTAGCCCGAAACCGAGTGGGCTGGCCCGATTGACATCCCTAATTACGAGGTCCTATAGGTTCCCCGAGACCAGAACGCAGATGCTGACATGTTATCCAAGCTCGCCCAAGGAGCCCCAGAGCATATTTCAAAAATAGCCCGAATTGAAGATTTCAAGAGGTCGAGCCTGGACGCCTACTCGGTCCTACCTGTGCAGACCCGACCTCCCTGCTGGTCGGATCACCTCGAGGAGTATAAGAAGACAGGTGTGCTACCTCCTGACGAGGTCGACGTGAAGTTGGTGAAGCGACGAGCTCCTATGTATGTGATCATGGGAGACACACTTTACAAGAGGTCCTACAACGGCGCCTTGCTGCGATGCATGTACCCAGACAAGGCCAGGTCAGTCATGGAGGAGAACCACGAGGGGACCTGCTTCGCCCACCAGGGGGCCTTCACCATGTCCAGGAGAGCCATCTTACAGGGGTACTTTTGGCCGAAAATGGCCAAGGAGTGCGCCGACTACGCCAGGAGTTGCAAGACCTGCCAGCACTTCCAGGTCGGTCCCGGCCGACCCGCCACGAGTTACGCACCCATCAGCTCGGTCATCCCCTTCTCCAGGTGGGGGGTGGACCTGGTGGGAGCTCTACCCATGGGGTCGGGAAAAAGAAAGTACCTCATAGTTGCGCTGGACTACTTTACCAAATGGGTGGAGGCGGAGCCGCTAGCGACCATAACAAGCGGCCGTTGTAAGAAATTCGTTTACAAAAATATTTTTTACCGTTTTGGGGTCCCCATGCAGCTCATTACCAACAACGGACGCCAATTCGAGGGGCAAGAGTTCAAGGGGTTTTGTGCAGAGTGGCACATTACCCACAACTGGGTGGCCGTGTGCTACCCTCAAGCAAATGGGCAGGTGGAGAATACCAACCGCACCATAGTAGATGGCCTGAAAAAGAAACTGGAATCCGTGGGGGGAGAGTGGGTCGAAGAGCTCGACGCCATTCTTTGGGCCTATCGCACCACCCCCCGGAGGGCCACTAGGGAGACACCTTTTTCCTTGGCCTACGGTTTTGAAACCCGAGCTCCAGCAGAAGTAGCCATACCTTCCCGGCGGGAGGAGGACTACGACCCCGACACGAACGAGGAGCACCATAGAGCCGACCTCCACCTAATCGACGACAGGCGCGAGGCAGCCGCGATCCGAGCTGAAAACTAGCAAAGACAAACCAAAGCATACCATGATAGGTGGGTCCGACCCCGCTATTTTCAAGTGGGTGATTATGTACACAGGAGGAGAGAGGCAAGCCAGCCCCAGGCCGGAGGGAAGTTTGCCGCCAATTGGGAGGGCCCATACATTGTAGCAGCTGTGGTCCTCCCAGGCAGCTACAAGCTCAAGACCCCCAAAGGGAAGATGATAGCTCGGGTCTGGAACTCGGAACATTTGCTGAAATACTACCAGTAACCCCACCACGTGAGAGGTGGACCTTGGCATTGCTATTCTAGGAGGAGGACCATTCCCCTCCCCCAATAATGTCTTAGTGGACGACAATATGCGGAATAAATTTTCTTGTTACGAAATTTGTTATGAGGAGGACCCTTGTTATGAAGTTTCATTTTCTTTTATTTTTCTCCCTTAAAAAAAAAAAAAAAAAAAAAAAAGAACCATGTAAAATGAGGGGGAACGAGTGCTCACCTGATTTCCCCCCGCGGATCCTATGGGGCACAAGGTCCAACCTCGCGTACCAACCCCGAAGGAGGACGCACCCTAAGGGGGCACGAGGCCCGACCTCGCGTACCAACCCCGACATAAGAGCCAGGTGGCATAGTCCGGAAGGACTCGGCCCGAGCGGCTAGCGTGCACCATAAGGGGGCTCGAGGTCCAACCTCGCGTACCAACCCCGACAGAGGAGCCCGGTGGCTTGGTCCGATAGGACTTGGCTCGAGCGGTTAAGCGCACCCTAAGGGGGTACGAGGTCCGACCTCGCGTACCAACTCCGACGGGAGAGCCCGGTGACGTAGTCTCATGGGACTATGTTAAGGAGGCTAACACAAGGCCAAAAAAAAGGCCTAGCGCACCTCGGCACAACACCGGGGTGCACCATGGCAGCACCTCGGCACATTGCCGAGGTGCACCATAGTACCACCTCGGCAATATGCCTAGGTGCATCAAGGCGGATCTCGGCGCGTTGCCGAGGTCCGTCCGTTTCGCACCTCAGCACGCTGCCGAGGTGCATCGTGGTGACACCTCGGCAACGCGCCGAGGCACGGAACCTCGGCCGGTGCCGAGGTCTCACACCTTGGCACGACCCGAGGTTGAGCACCTCGGCACTAGCCAGGGGCTCATTAAGAAAAAAAAAAAAACACAACTAAGTAAAGGTGAGGTAATGGCAGGTAAACGGTGGCAAACATCACATCAACAAAATAAAGGAGGCCGATGGTCCATTCAAAATGACAAATCTAGTACATCACCAAGGGAGAACAAGGTCGGCTACTTTGAGCTCGGACCACGTACGTGAGGAAGGTCGGGGTAGTGCTTTGTCTTATTCTCGTTCGTTGTTGACTCCTCACAATGAGGATAGTAGGGGACTCATGATGGATATATTAGGCGCGGAGCAAACCGACCCGGGGGGAGCGGAGCAAGGAGGTGGAGCGGCCCAAGACGTCTCACCTCAGCTCAAGACATCTCACCTCGACCCAAGGCACCTCGGCCCAAGACACCTCGGCTTAGGACACCTCGGTCCAAGATGCCTCGGCATAAGACACCTAAGCTCAAGACGCCTCGGCACAATGCACCTCGGCCATGGTGAGCTCGGCTACATTTGCGCATGGAGGTCGGGTCGGGATATCTACTCTTTCGTTGTCGACTTCTCACAACGAAGAGAGTGGGGGACTCATGATGGATATATTATACCCACGACCCACCCGGGGTAGCAACACGGACCCGGAGCACCACGTTGGAGCCCAAAAGCACCCCAACCCACGGCACCTTGGAGGTGCCCCGACCCGAGCCGAGTGACGTGGGGCTCGGGTCGGGTAGCACGACCATACCCGAGCTCGGGCCACAGCGAGCTCGGGTAGGGGAGCTCGGCACTACCCGAGCCCGGGGACCCGACCCGGCCTGGTCCACCCTGGTCCCCGGTCAAAGGGCGATCTAGCTGCCCCCTTTTTAGAGGGAGCGGTTGGGGGGGGGGGGGTTTGTTGCATATAAAAACCCCCCACCTCACCTTGTTAGGACAACTTAATTCATATTCTCGATACTTTGTCTTACTAAATCTTTGTAATAGCCAATTCCACGGCATTTAATATAATATACGGTCTCACGGCCTTTACGACATCGTTCTATATTATTTATTTATTATTCATATTACGTTCTTATCCGGATTTATTGATTCGGGTCCACCCCGGGTTAATTAAATCCATCAACAGGAATATTTGTAGTAAAATGTGAGACAGAGTAACGATTTGTGTCTTGAAATTCGGATCCTCTACAGTGTGACCCCATGAGGGTATTTATACAAGAAATATGGCATTGAAGAAGGAAAGAAAGAAGAAATTAACTAAAATAATCATAGAAAAGCTTCTAAAACTACTGCATTTCCATCATAAAAAAAAAGGGAGTGACTTGGCGTACGAAAGAATCTCCGCTGAATCTGGCCTTATCGCCTCTATGGTGTGCACTCAGTCAGGGACACACCGACTGCATAGTATTGTTGCCCACCCAAGCCGCACTGCATAGTTTTATCGCCCACTCGAGCCGCACTGCATAGTCTTATTGCCCTCCCGAGCAAAGACGAGCCGCCCAATCACCCACCCGAGCAAAGACGAGCCGCCCACCCGAGCAAAGACGAGCCGTCAGACCAACAGGGGCCTTCTTCTCCACATCGCTAGGTGCCCTAGGCGCCCGGTGCCAAACTGGTGCCACTACTCAACTTCCTACAGCGTACCTGACATCCCTTTCTATGATGTTATCTAGAGTGTAGCTGAACTTTGTTTTCCTATGCCTTCCGCACTAAATAATGTTTTTTGTTCAAGTATGGTTTGCTAAAAATTGTTAAAGATGTCAAGAATGGGATTTGAACCCATGCCCTTTCGGACCAATACCTAAAACTAGCGCCTTAAACCAACTCGATCATCTTGACTTTGAACACAATAATTTAGGATATCTTTTTCTTTGTTCTATGTGTCTAGTTATCTACTAGTTCTGGTAACAAACTGGCTAGGCTCCAGTTTTGATCTGGTAATCGGCATTTCAGGTAAACATGTTATTTTGGACCTAATTTCATGATTTTGTGTTGTTTAGGAACCCAATTGCATTGTTTTTGAGTTTGATGGCCTAATTGCAATTTGGTGTACAGTTCAGTGGCCTATTTGACCCTTATTCCTCAATAGTTATGCTGTGCAACCGTGTGCACCATGCATGGTGCACATGGTTGCAAAACGACGTCGTTTTGACTAAAAACACGCATCCCATTTAAAAAAAAAAAAAATCAGTTTCGATTCCCCTCAACAACATTATTATGGATATATAGTTATGAATGATTGCGGATATATAGTTATGAATTTGTGGATATATAGTTATGAATTTATGGATATTTAGTTCATTCATTGTGGATATTTAGTTCATTCATTGTGGATGTTTAGTTCATTCATTGTGGATATTTAGTTCATTCATTGTGGATATTAAGTTCATCCATTTTGGATTTTGTGTTATTCATTCACTGTGGATATATAGTTATGAATTTGTGGATATATAGTTATGAACTTGTGGATAGATAATTCAAATTATGTAAAAAAAATAAAAAATGTTATTGCCGGGAATCGAACATGAATTTTTTTTTTTTTAAGTGGGACGCGCGTTTTTAGTCAAAACGACGTCGTTTTTGCAACCGTGTGTATGGTGCACACGGTTGCACAACATAATTTGCGCTTATTCCTTTATTATTATTATTTTTTTGGTGAAGTGTAAATTTAGCAAGCCAAAAAATCGAGAGAGTGCGGACAAAAATCAAACTCTATAATGATCTTCAAATAATGCTTCACTCACTTGACCACTCTTTAGTCCTTTCGAAACATAATGATATCTTTTGATAATTTGATTTGGTTAACGATTAATTCGTTTTGAGATGGTTGGTTAACCAAAATTTTAATTATATAAATAAATAAATAAAAATTATCTAATATGTAAAATCCCTATAAATTTGTAATGTTGTTATGGTATTGTTTTTGTATATTTCTTAAGGATTTATTATTATATGTATTATTTTAATTAGATTTATTATTATCTGTATTATTTTTAGGATTTAACCGATGGATTAACCGAAAAAACTTCAGTTCGGTTAATTCGGTAATACAAAGTTCGGTTCGGTTAACGGTTAAAGTTTTAAAAACTTCAATTAAAACGGTTCGGTTAACCGATTGCACAACCCTAGTCTTGATATACAAAATTAAACTAAGAGCAACCCCATCTATGATTTTTTGTGGGGTCCAATATGAGTTGGAGGATAGAGAAGAAGGGGAGAGAGAGAGTGCATTTTGAACTCCTGAGGGATAGTGGTTTTTTGTAGGTCCCATGAGAGAAAAAATGGAGGAAAGACCGCGCATGATTTTTTGTGGTACATTTTAGTTTTTAAAATAATAAGAAGTAATATGGTGGCAGGAGACATTGTCCCGGCCAATATCAAATATAATAATAATAATAATAATAATAATAATAATAATAATAATAATAATAATAGTTACTACCCATTTTGGTCCCTCGACTATTAGATAATAATAGTTAATACCCATTTTGGTCCCTCGACTATTAGATAAAATGATGCTTTTGCCCCTCTCTATAACAGTGGATGGATGACAATTGTAATGGAGGACCAAATTGAGTATGATTTACAAGTTAGAGGACTAAATTTGGTACTTTTAATAGTATGAGACTAAATTGTGCATTACCTAATAGTTGAGGAACCAAAATGGGTATTAACTCTATTTTAAATATAAGATCTCAAAATCACTCAAAATTAAACTTGTGTTAATTTTATAACATTAATCTAAAAAAATAAATTTGAAAAAATAAGTGTTAGTAAATAAGTTTTCTAAACAGAAAACAAAGAATAAAAACTGAAAAATTAAAAAACAGAAAATAATTTTTTATTAGTAAACGAACCCTAAGGTTAGTTTTTTATTAGTAAACGAACCGTAAGGTTCAAACTCAACTGTTTTTCTCAAACAACCCACTCTGAAATAAGATACACCACTCCCACAAGGAAGAAGAGAAATCCTAGGCCAAGCTTCCTAGAAAAAATTCAAGAAAAATGGTCTGTTAAACCCACTTCCTCGAGATAAAACTTCCCTTGGCAAGAACAAAAAATCGGAGCTAACAGTCGAAGAAATTTCAGAGCTTGGGCTGCAATGTTTTGCGAATGGAACTGAAAATGAAGAAGAAAAAGTAGAAGTTAGTGAGTGAGTGAGTAGTAGTAATTCAAGAATTGAGGTAAAGCTTCCTCCCTGGGCTCATGGAGCCCTGCCCAGAAAACATTTGTTTAGTTCTGATGCTAGAATTTTATAAGACAGGAGGAAAGCATTAATGTTTAGTTCTGTTACAGAAGCGTAAAAAGAAGCAGAGACACGAAATACTCACTCTTCAACAGGATCAACCCAGTAGTCTATCAGAGAAAAGATCATCACAATTTCTTATCTTCGTAAAATTTTTTCCAGCACTCACAACACCAAGTTTGTACCTAAAATGAACACAGTTCGATAAGCAAAAGGAATTAGTATCATCATATTAGCAATGAAAATCTTATTAAAAACCATAATAATATATAATATGAAGGAAGGAATTAGTACTTGTCCATGATGGATTATATACATTTTGCTTAGCAAAACCTGGATCTATAACATAAAAAATGCCATCTATTGTTAAAGAAGCTTCGGCAATATTTGTAGCAACAACTACTTTTCTCTTCCCTGGAGGGGCAAGCTCAAAGATTCTAGACTGCATTTCACTAGGCAGGGCACTATAAACAGGTAAGATTATCAATTCAGGAACATTCTTACCCAGACCTTTCATCCTCTCATAAAGACACTGGCAAGCATAATCAATCTCTTCCTGATCAGTCAAGAAAAGAAGGATATCACCTTCAGGTTCTGTTAAGTGAATCTGTAAGACTGTTATCAAGATAGTCACCCTCTGGCTGCTTGGTGTAAAGTATCTCCACTGGAAAGGTTCTCCCCGGGATAGTAAAGATGTTACAGTTGAAAAAGTATCCAGAAAACTTCTCTGCATCTAAAGTTGCAGATGTGACGATCAACCGAAGGTCTGGTCTTCTCTTAATTAATTGCTTCAAGAGACCAAAGAGAACATCAGTATGAATGGTTCTCTCATGAGCTTCATCAAGCATTATAACGGAATACTGAGACAAACTCTCGTCCACCAGTATCTCCCTCAACAGCATACCATCTGTCATATACTTTATCACAGTCTCTGGCCCAGTACAATCCTCGAAACGAATGGCGTAACCAACTTCTTCCCCTAACCGGCAACCAAACTCCTCGGCAACCCTCTTTGCCACTGACATTGCGGCCATTTTACCTCTTGTAGTATATCCTGCCTCAGCTAGATACTGAACCTGTCTCTCCAATGACAACCAAGACCTGGTTATCATGTACAGCTTCAACCAATTCCTTCTTCAGCTTGTAAATGGGTAGACTCTGCCTCTGCTCCTGAATGGAAAGCTTTGACCTCTGTGATCCGAATCCCTGAAAGCCCAATTCTCGTCCTAGTCCCTTCCATATTTACTCCAGATGGATTTTCCCTCAAACCATCATCATCTAAGCTCTTCTTCAGTGGTAGCAAATCCTTTCCAGTATTCTGGTCAACATCCCTCATAGACAAACTCAATTTCTGCCCACTCACTGAAATTACCTTCACGTATACCTCCTCATCCCTCTTCACCAAATCTTTTGCATTTGCAACCCTCCGAGTTGCCATCTGTGAAACATGATTGAAGACTTGTAGTGGTTGTGATTGTAGTGATATATAATCAAATATATGAATTATGAAATAGATAATTCATTTTTCATTTAGAAAAATAGTTTTTTAAAGTTTTCCCTTTTTTAGAAAATTGAAAAATATTTTATGTTTTCAAAAATGGAAAATTGTGCTAGTTAACATGTTTTTTTTTTTAATATTGTTTAATTCTCTAATTTTTTAAAGAAAAGAGTTTTTCCCCATTTTGGTCCCTTGACTATGACTCATTCTCAATTTTGCATTTTCACTTTTAATTGCACCCAATGTGGTCCCTTGAGTTTTAAAAATTACCCCAATTTGGTACTCCGTTATCTTTTCCATCAATTAGGCATTAAGTATGGGGGTATTTTAGTCATTTTGTTGTTTTGGTCACCTTTTCCCTGCAGGAAGGTTTTCTAGTATTGTCGGCGACTTCACGAAGGTTTTCTCAGCAACCGATGCACTTTTGACGAGAACTCAACCCAAACTATTAATGAATTCAACCCAGTTGAGGTTCCATCTAACTGTCCAGTTAGTTTTGACGAGAACATGGTTGAGGTATGTATACAACAGTTTCTAAATTCTAATACCATTTACTCCCGAGAGGATATATATTCGATTTGTTTGGCTTCCTCAATTGTTTAAATTTATAATATAAATGCTGTCAAATGAATAATAGCTAGAAATTCCTTTCTTCAAAAATTCATGTTAATTGTTATTATTGATGCCTAACAAAACAATCCTCAACCATCACCGTCTAACAGTGAAGAAGATCGTCAACTTGTTGATAATGGAGATGAACCCATGGGTTTGGGAGAAGAGGATTTAGGCGCCACGAGAACCAAAACTGCGTCGGTTGCTCACCATTCTTTCTAAGCTCATCTTCTCCGATCAACAGTCTGAACCATGGGCAATGATCCCGAACCTTCCCTATGCTCAACCACAGCCTCAGAGTGACCATGCAAAGCCGCGACCACCGGGAGAACCTCCATGTAAAGTCGCGACCGCCGGCAGTCCACTCCCCATGAACCAGCGAGCTCTTCGACTACTTTCATACTTGGGAAACGACCGGCAAATCTGCCAAGAAGGCAGAAAGATTTATCTTCTTCGAACACAAATACATCTTCAACCCCGAGGTCAGCCACACCATTGGTGTTGAACTCCTTGAGAAGGCATTCATCACCTTCAAGCTTTTTGGAATTATGAAAGGGAGCAACGGGGATGGACACGGCTTGGGTGCTCTGTTTCTCACGCTAACAACATCAACTCCAAGGTCGACGACAGAAAGGGTACCCTTCGAACCTAGAGAACGGGAGATAGAAGGCTCAACTGACTGAGGAGCAGTCGATTTCCCTTTTCCGGCCAGGAAAACGACATAAAAACAGACCGAAAACAGAGATAAGACCTAGTTGAAGTTGTCGGTTGCCGGAGAAAACCTTCGTGAAGTTCGTGGAGTCTAATTGATGGAAAAGGTGACCAAAACAATGAAATGACCAAAATACCCCCAAACTTAACACCTAATTGATGGAAAAGGTAACGAAGGACCAAATTGAGATAATTTTTAAAAGTCAAGGGACCACATTGGGTGCAATTAAAAGTGGGAATGCAAAATTGAGAATGAGTCATAGTCAAGGGACCAAAATGGAAAATTGTGCTAGTTAACATGTTTTTTTTTTAAAGAAAATTATAAAAAAAATTCAACTAGTAAATGGGTCATGGAGTGTCCCTCCCAACGGTCAGCACACTAAGTGGTAGGAGATCAAACACCCAACCTGGCCAACCATGTTGGTTAAAGATTAACCTTTTAAAAATTATATTTAATTCAAAGTTTAAAAGGACTAACCAAAACTACACTGGGATCGGAGTTCAAAAAAAAAAAAACTAAAGAATTGATTAGAGAAAGAGGTTATAGAAGATTTCAGTTTCTTATATGCTTTCAAAAAAGATCATTTGATCCAAATTAATTATAATTTTTTTAAGGTAAATAATGTGTAAAGAATCACAAGTTTATCAAATACATACTCAAGCTTAAACATATGGTCATTACCAGAATATCCATATTATTATTGTTTATGGGGGTGTAGCTCATATGGTAGAGCGCTCACTTTGCATGTGAGAGGCACGGGGTTCAATTCCCTACACTTCCTGAAGTTCACATAACTTCAACATTGAAGAGAAAAAACTTTGACCATTTTTCCAATATATATAGAGGAAGGTTAAGTGCGGTGTCCAAAAACGTAAAAACACCATACACCAAAAACACACATGTGGTCAGAAATACATCATTGGGGGTGGTGACTTATATTGTGTATTTTTTGGTGTTTTTTTGCATTTCATTGTGATGTGTTTCCCTTACACTGTTGGTGCATGTTATTAACACTGTTGGTGTATTCTGAAATTCCGCCGCACCTAAGGACATCGCTGCATTTGAACTTTTATATATATATATATATATATATATATATATATATATATATATATATAGGGGCACGATATAATGCGAACGATCACCCAAGAGAGAAATAATAACCATCTGTGAAACATGAACTAATCCTTCCTTCCTTCTGCACTCATCCAGCTGAACAAAACAACCTGTGTCCATTACACTAGAAACTCTCCCCTTATACACTTTATACAATTCAGGTTCCTCCGATCTGTTCTGTACAACCCTTTCTTTCTATCATATCTATTATCCCTATCCCTGTCCTGACTTCGATATTCAACATCATTGCCCCTTTCTCTTCTACCGCCTCAATCTCCCGTTCGTAACAGGAGAAAACAAGAGAGAGATACACTAGTTTCTTCACCACCTGAATGTTCGAACTGATAATCACGCACTACAAGAAATTTCACATTTAGTGATAATAGAAGTTGTCATCAAAACTATCGATTTTGGTCACTATTGAAATTAGTGACCAATTTTTGACGTCAATATATCCTCCGTCACAATTGTAGTAGTGACGACTTTTGAAAAGTTGCCACAATTACTAAGACTTTTGTGACAATGTTTATGTACACTAAAAAAGTATTTGAGTGATATCATTAATCATCACAATAAATGTACATTTGGTGACGAAATATGTTATTACAAAAAATTGATCTAGTGACAACTAAAATCGTTGAAATTAATTATTTTATTTTGACAACAATTTAGTCACAATACTTATACTTATTTGTGAGAATTGTTATGGACTCAAAAATGGTAATCAGTGACCTAAAAAGTTATAACAAATAATTATTTTGTTGTGACAACAATCATGGTAACAAATATTGTATTTATTTGTGACAAAAAAGAAGTTAACTATGAAACAATCATTGGTTTTAACTAGAGCCGTAACAATACTGAAAATTAATGGCAAAACTTGTGTCACTAAAATAAGTTGAAATAGTGTCACTATTGTCAACCTTGATAGTTGTATAAGTGACCATTATTTGGTCACAATTTTTTTTTTCAAATAATACTAGCTAAACGCACACACAATATATATATATATATATATATATATATATATATATATATATATATATATATATATATATATATATATAAAATTATTTATTTTAAAATCTTGTCATAATTAAATGTTTTAATTTAATTATTATTTGGAATAAAATAAGCCTCAACAAATTTTACTTATCAAATTAAAATATATATAAAAAGAGACCTCATTGTCTAACAAATATATGTTGTTAGAAATACAATAAAATGCAAATAAAAATATTTTAAAATAAAATATCTTGATTATTCTTCACTTGAGGTATTGATGGAGATACATTGCTTAGCATATTTGGAATCCTTGATTGCTTGATAAGTGAGCAAAAATTTGCTTGATTTCAACAGCTTATTTCTTTAAAGCTACCTGTGCAATTTCTTTAAATTTTGTAGCGTACTTCTTCTTCCAAATTCTTTCCTGCAGTAAAATAAAAAAAAAAACAAAAATATATAAATATACAATATTATATATAAGAACAATATTAAATTTTAAACTCAAAATTTAAAATATCATATCACATGTACAACCAATAACAATTAAGTAGGTTATTTTAACAATTCTCGTAAGACAAAGATGAAAATGATATTTACAACACTCTTTGTATCACCCCAAAATTTAACTTCAATTCTTAAACTTTCTTTTATATATATATATATATATATATATATATATATATATATATATATATATATATATATATATATATATATATATATATATAGTTTTTTTCCCTAAACATACAGTAATACATAGGGTTGTGCAAAACCGACCCTACCCGAAAAAATTGCCCGACCCGAGACCCGTTGCAACCCATCCGAACCCAAGCCAAATCCGACATCACAAATCCGATCCACCAAGTGAAACGACGCCGGATTACGTGGTTCGGATAGGGTAGGCAAAAAACGCATCCGACCCGCCCGAACTATCTGATCTTTCCTAGGGTTTGCTAAGGTTTAGTATGGTACGAAGTCGTATAAGGCTATTATATATGTAAGCCTTAGCTTTTGTGCAGCCCTCTACACTCCACTCTCTGTGACCCTTCACCCTAATTCTCTCAATCTCTCATTCTCTCTGACTTCTCTCTACTCCGAATCTCCGATTTTCTCTGTGACTCTGTGAGAGTGTGAGACTGTGACTCATACTCTCAATCTCTCATACTCTCAGAATCTAAGTCTCTCAGAGTCCTCTCTTCTTCTCTAATCTCAGTGACTCACTTACTCGTTGAGTCGTTGAGACCTGTGCACTGTCCGGCTGTGTCTGATTCTCCGGTGGCCGTTGGAGGCTTAGAGTGGTGGAAGCCCTTCTCTCTGGTGATTACTGGTTAGAGACCCTTGTTCTCCGGGGAGTATTTGGGGAAAACAAGTAAATCGCTAACCCTAGTTTTTATATTTATGATTATTCACTGTATTTTGATCTATTTGTGTTATATGATGATATATGTGTTATAGTGTGATCTATTTTGGTGAAAGCTGTTTTAAACCCAAACCCTAGTTCTATATTTGTGATTTATGTGTGATAGTGTTAATTGCCACGTGGTGCGGTAATTAAATAAACAAGAGACCAATTAATGAAAGTAAATAACTCTTATTGATCACAGTGAAGTCCCTAAGTACAATCTAAGTGGCTGCTCTGAGTACCGACTGACTGCGGTCGGGATTCTCTAGCAACAACCTATCAATCGTCCAAAAGTCGCGCACAGTGTCGCTATCGCGGGTATTTATAGCCGCGGAGCCGGAGACACAAATCCGGCCATTCGGCATGCTTCCCACGTAGCAACCACGTGTCAACGTCCCGGGTGCCCTGGCTGTCAATGCGTGGAGCCGCCACGTGTTCCTCGTCAGCTCTCTCGCCAAAGGGCTACCGCTCGGTGGTCGACACTGCCGCTCGGGTAACTCCCGGTCGGATCCCGACCGGGTCTTTCACAAGAAGAAAAGGACGAAGGCACACCGGTCGGGGTATTCCCTACCAAGAGCCCCCCAGCCCGGGCCTTTTTGACCGTCCGGGAAAAAACGGGACGGGATGAAGAAGCCCAACCGTCAGCCGCCAAACCGACCGGCCAGCTGTCATTCCCTTTCTCGCCACGTGTCGACGATTGCTGGCCTCTGCGACTGCAACGGTCGCCTCGAAATCAGTGCGGGTCGTGTAACGCAAGTGGGCTTGTTTCCCGCCTAAATGCTCTCCTATAAATAGGCCCTTGAGGCCCTCATTTGAACTTTCCTCAATCTTCTGAACCAATCGGCACCCTCAGAGAGTCCCGAACGAGCTCTTCAGCAGACCAATCGAGCAACTCACCTGCAAACTTTTGGAAAGTCTCCCTGATCGGTAAGCTCTCTACTTCCTTGCTTTTGTTTTACTTTAAGCTTTGCACGATAGTAGGATAGGACTAATTCCGACCCAACGTCCCGAGCCCTATACTAACCCCGACCGACCTTTAGGTAGAAAAGATGTCGGACTCGGACAGCCAGAACGTCTCGGTCGCAGACTACGATGACGAGGTCGAGCAGATTAGCGAGGAGGTGGACATCATGTCCTATTCTCCGGAGGTCGTACAACGACCGCAACAAATCCCCGACCGAGCCCCCGAGCGAGAAAGGTCGTCGAGCTCGTCTGGGACGTCGGGGTTGAGCTCCAGCGGGTCGGGGAGCTCGAGCGAGGAGAGCGGGAAAATGTCCACGAGCGGACGGAATTCCCTGGTCGAAAGCGTTAGGGAAACGCCTACGAGGGTAATAGGGGATTACCCTCAGGTTGGGCCCGAAGGGGGCGACCGGGCAGATGACGCAGAGCCGGTCGAAGAGGACCCGGCTGAGCCAGCGGCGCCAGGCGGAGACGGGTTTGAGTTTCTCAACAGCGAGAGCGTCGAGACCCAGATGAGCAAACTAACCAAGGGCGAAGCAGCAAAAATCGCCGCAACTCTCGCCGTCGGGTGGAGTTTGACACAAGCCGGCAGCTCGGGAATATCATTGAGCGGCACCGGGGAAAGTGGCTCGGGATGCACTACGATTCCCTCATGGCCCCGATCACTTTCCCCTTCTCAGGCCTCCTCACCGCGTTCCTGGGTTACTACCAGGTGGTGCCCGGGCAGATTTGCCCGAACGCGCACCGGGTGATTGCATGCTTTCTGCAGATCTGCGGTCGACACAACCTGGCCTGCACCATGGAGCTCTTCAACTTCATCTACCAGGTGAAAGTGTTGGCGGCCACATACGGGGGCGGGTATCTGATGACCCAATCCCGGGCGGACATGTGCTCGATTGAAGGTCTGCCCGGGAACAACCGGGGATGGAAAAACCGGCTGTTCTCCGTGAAGTACGAGCCGTGGATCCTCCCGGTCGAGAGGGTCTGGAGTCAACGCTTTAGAAAGCAAGTTATCCCAGCCGAGACTCAGGCCCTCAAGGACGCGGCCACCAAGATATCTAGAGAGATCTATGAGTATCGGATCTTCAAGACGCCCGAGTCCCTCGAGGCGCCGACCTGCCCGAGCCAGTATACGACGTGCCCGAGAAGTATAAGCCCGAGCCTCGGGGCGTAACGATCGCAAGGATGCCCGCTCGGGGCAAGCGAAAGGGTAAAGGTTTAACACTAACTCATCTTCCCGACCCTAACACCCCGAACGTGCGTTACTTTCCCGAACTAACTGCCTTGTTCTTTTATTTTGCAGAAATGGCAGATTTTGGAGATGACGAAGCTCCTCTTCCCCCGTGTAACACCCCGTGTTACGACCCCTAAAACCAATTAATTAATTAACCCATAGCCCAAGAGAAAGAATAAATTATAATAATTAATTAGGGAAAAAGGCCCACCATAGTCCATGGGCCCTTATCCCTAAACCCAATCCTTAGTTCCAAAAGGAATAGAATTAGCAAGCCTATAATATTAGTTCCTAATCAGGACTCCTAAATATATAAATAGGGGACTTAAGAGGCACCTAAACCCCCCCCCCCCCCCCCACCACAATAAACGACTCACCACCCCAAAAGAGCTCCAAGAATTCCCTTAGAAGAAATCAAGAAAGCAAGAAAGCTTAAAGAAAGACCCTTCATAGCCAAGGAATTAATTAAGGCTAAGAGGTAACCCATGTCTCAACAAAACCTATTTTTATAGCTATGATTTCCCCCGTAGGATTTCCCCATATTATCGTGTATTGATGCTTTGTGA